GTTAAGTCACAGAGCTCTGAAACTGGACTTGGTTATCATGATTTAGGAAGTCTTAGAACTTAATTCTTCTTCTATTAGCTTCGGTGAGATTCAAGAAAGGTAAATTAACAAAGAAAACTGATTGAGAAAGACTGTAAGAGCAAATTCAAAGTTGCAGAAAATTGAGTTCAAGACGAAGTTTGGCAGGGTGATTCTGGCTCTCTAAGCTTGATAAAATGAATGAGGTATGACCCTCTATAACAAAATATAATTATTGAGCGTAAAAAACATGTTTTACAAAAATTGACTTGGACCATGATAAGTGAAATGAACCTACCTAAGTGATTTTGGGCAGATGCAATTAATATCACATGCCATGTCTTAACCAGGATGATCATTCTACCAATCCTAGATAAGACACGCTATGAGTTACTTGAAGGTAGAAAACCAAATATTTAATTTTTTTCACTATTTCGGTTGCAAATGTTTTATTTTAAATAGAGAAAATGGCAATCTTGGTAAATTTGATGCTAAGTATGATGAAGTGTTATCCTTAGGTTACTCATCTAAGAGTGAAGCCTATAGGGTTTACAATCATAGAACTGCTTCAATAGAAGAATCTATTCATGTTGAATTTGATGAGCCCTCATCCCAAAACACAGGGAAATGTATTTGTTCTGATGTTTTAGGTGTGATAACGGAGAATTTGATCAACAACGAAAGTTATAAATAGGATTCTCCTCCTCCATCAAAGAATTAGGACATTAATGAAGATAAAGAGGAAATTTTACATGATGATGATAAACAAGAGACCTCGAACCAACTGCCTCAAGATTGGACAATCACAAAAGAAGATCATCCGTTAGATCAAATTTTGGGAGACATAAAAAGAGGTGTAAGTACTAGATCACTGGTCAATAATTTTTGTAAGTACTCTACTTTCATTTCTCAAATTAAACATAAATATATATATCTGATTCCTTACTTGACGAGGAATATTTACTTGTTATTCAAGAAGAACTTGTCCAATTTAAACATATTGACATTTTGGAAACTGTTCCATGTCCAATTGATAAAATCGTCATTGGAATAGTGGAAAAAGGATATAACCAAATGGATGTGCTTCTTAAGGAATAGACTACAAGGAGATTTATGCTCAAGTAGCTCATTTAGAAGCTATTATAATCCTTTTGACATTCTCTTTCTTCCTGGAGGTTAAGCTTTATCAAATGGATGTTAAATTTTCATTTCTTAACAACTATATAAACGAAGAGGTGTATGTCTCACAACCCCTAGGTTTTTAGGATCACGATAATCCTTACTATATTTTTAAACTAAAAATATCCCACTATGGTCTCAAACAAGCTCAAATAGCTTTGTATGAATGATTGGGTGGAATTTTAATCAAACAAGGATTCAATCGTGGTAAAGTGGACACCACTTTATTTATTAGACGCAAAGTGTATCATATTATTTTTGTTCAAATAAATGTCGACGATAGTATATTTGGTTCTACTAATGAACCTCTTTGTAGAGAGTTTGCAAGTTTGATACATGGTGAATTTGAAATGTCTCTTACGGAAGAGTTGGAATATTTCTTAGGATTACAAATCAAGTAAGCCAAAGAAGGCACTTTTATAAGTGAAACAAAATATTTCTTAGAACTTCTCAAGAAGTCTGATATGAAAAATTTGAGAAGTATCTCAACATCCATGGCTTTAAATGTGCTAATTGAAAAAGGTGAGAAAAATGTGGACTTCAATATAACCGGGTATAGATGTATAATCGGATCCTTACTCTATTTAACGGAGAGTATGCCAAATATCATGTTTAGTGTTCATGTGTGCTAGATATCAAGCTTCACATAAGAAATCTCACTTTAAGACAGGTATTTTGAGGTATCTTAACGGAACCTCCCAACACAATCTTTGCTATCTTAAAGGTAGCGCTTGTAACTTAGTAAATTTTTATGATTATGATTTTGCAGGGTGCAAGTCAGATAGGAAAAGCACTAGTGGTACATATCACTTATTTGTAAGTTGTTTAGTTTCTTGGAACTATAAGAAGCAGCATAATGTTTCTCTTCCACCACTAAGGATGAATATGTATCCGTTGTAGTTGTTGTGCTCAAGTCTTATGGCTAAAGAAAAAATTTCTAGATATAATTTAAAATTTGACCGCATTCCAATTAATTGCGATAGTACTGGTGCAATAAGCCTCACTAAAAATCTGGTACTCTATTCACAAACTAAAACATATTGATATCCAACAGTATTTTCTTAGTTGAAAACAAGGATGTTGTTTTTTATACATTGACACTAAAAGTCAGCTTGCTGACATTTTTTACTAAATTGTTGTCATCAAAATATTTTATCAAGATTCGTATGAATTTTGAGAATTTTAGATTCCTCGCGCTTTAAATAGAATGAGTACTCAATTTAGTTTCATTTTCTATATATATATATATATATATATATATATATATATATATATATATATATATATATATATATATATATATAATATATATATATATATATATATATATATATATATATATATATATATATATATATATATATATTGTTTTCACTAACATTATTGTGTAGAAAATCATAGTTTTTTCTGACTACATTGTTATGTCTCTATAACTCTTGTATTTGATCTTATATCATTATACATGTTTGTTCTGTATATGTTAAATTGGTTTTCGTATTACCTTCTTCATTTTAATCATTCATCTCTAGCATATGTTTTTTATTATTCTTCTTTGCATTTAACTTTTTAAATGTGTTTTGCTAATAATGTGTATTTGAGCATTTACATACGTGTTCATGCATTATTTAATGTTAATTTACATAATAGTTTTGATCACTTAATTGTATGTTGTTGAATGTTGGTGTTTCATATCTATTTTTATTTTGTTGCATGTAGTATGTTTATCTTCGTGTTCTGTATCTGATCTTTATTGTGTATATTCTTCTTAGCCTTTTGGCTCATATGTTTATATGGAATTATTTATTTTGTGGTTGGGTTATTTAGTTTGTAGACTTATTTTAATATATCTCTTTTAGATTTTGTCAAATGGGAAGAAGTTGTAATGTGTGTCTAGAATTGTTTTATGTGTTTTATGTTATGTTGTTTGTGTGCAATGTTTCTGGGTGAGCACAAGCAGTTTTGCCTTTGGCTCAAAGTCTACTCGATTTAAAATGAAAGTATGTCAAGCATAAAAAAAAAGGGAGACTAAATTTTCATGTCCATAACACATTCATGGGGAGAATCCTAATACAATTGTTTTGATGTTTCTCTTGTCGCTTTCATGTTTCGTTATTATTGTTTATTAAGTCTCCTTCTTAATCGCACGTCTCTGAATCATGTTAGAATAAATTCGTTTTTAAGCATGCATAAATCAATTGTTATATTTGAAGTTTCATCATGATGGTTTAAGTCAATTTCTTGAGTTATGAAACAATAACCATTAGTGATATCAATTCAACTCATGTGTGAAGTGGAATCTCAAATTGTTTTGAAAAACTTTAAAATTTAAGATTTCTTGTGTGTGACTCGAGTTACTCACAATCCATGACTCGAATCAAACCAAACACGAGA